CCAACATGTTTTCTTATAACAATTATTTTATTATAATTTTCATATGTAACATACTATTGTATGTATCTGTATTCTATAATCTTAATTCAATAAGACTATTGACTAATACATGTACATTAATGGATTAGGATATAAAGGATAATTCTAGAACAAATCTAAATGGAGCGGACGCTCTTTATGAAATTGACCACTTAAATGAAAATGGGACAGCACATTGAACTACGGACCCTAGTGTGGTTTCTTTGGTCACGTTAAGACCTATTTCTTTGAACTGATCATCAATTGAGGACCCTCAGATCTAAACAGGATAATGCAAATGAATTGCAAAAGCCCATACATATAGTAAAACCGTGTATAACTATCGGATTCTGTCTTGATACAAAAGTGATTAGAGTTCAAACATGTTCTAAATTAAATTAATTTTATAATTATAATGACGAAATTATATAATAACAATGAGACAAATATTTAACATATTTCTTTTTACGCTTAAAATTAGTTGTTATTATTAAAGTATAGCAGTTATTTGTCACCGTGATCCATCCCGCAGATGCGATACCCACTCGTTACACAGAAGAGTCGAAAAGTTTTCTACGATAAAATATATTTATTTTTAGGCATATAATTTAAATTATCGATAACACCACGAAAACGATCGATTTTTTTAAGTCTTTAAATCTAAAATCATAATATATTAAAAACAATAACCAAACAACCTTAAGATGAAAATAGGCAAGATACAAATGCATCGATAAATCGCCCATCACTAGAAAAACCCGCATCGATCGATAGAATACAGACACGTACTTAGGTTTTCAATCACCAAGTAAATCTCAATTGCGGTTTCCAAGATATAAGTTCCCCTTACTTCTATGCAATCTATTCGTATTGGACGACATGACAATCTACAACTGGATTGAGGTTTTTTCCTATTAATATACTATTGGCTTTTCGTCTGAATCTGTCGAAAGTGTCAAAATATATTCGATGCAAATTGAATTTCGTTTAACATGGAGGTATGACGTGCATTTTGTTAAATTTTATTTTATTTCAGTATATCACAATCAGTGTTATTTATTTTGAATGACACAATACACAATAAATTAACTTAATGACTTAATACACCTGTTACAAAAAAGTGACATTTAAAAATAAATAAAAAGTAATATATGCATTTAACATATTACCAGCACACAAATGAATACGAAATCCAACCACATTTTATACAAAAAGCCTTTAAAGCATATAAATTACGTTAAAATCTTTTCTCAATTGGAATTATTCGTAACTGCAAGTGTTCCGACATTCAATACCTTACATTACTTACACAGATCTTCATCTATCTCGTAATGATATGTACTTTATCCTAGTATTCCTCTAGTATTTTTCCGAATCCAAGACTAAAAATAAAACTTACTTAAATAAAAAGAAGAATTTATATATGTATGTATGTATTAACATGTTTGTGTTTAGTGTTCAATATCCTTCTACAGTCTCTTCAGATGCGATTTTATAAGCCTTTAAACCCAAAAAGTAAAGTAAATTAAATTCTTCCTGAACATACATATGTATTTCGTCCAGAACGTTAGGACCGAATTCAATCTCCCGCTTTGCAAATAACGTCTTTCAATGTAATACTTCGAAATCACCGATCCTAAGATTTAGGTCTTATTTACAAACCAACTTAGCATTATATCTACATATCGACATGACGTAGAAAAATAAACTAAAATATTTAAAATCAAATATTGATTTTGATTTTATTTGCTACATAGAACGAAAACAGATTGCAAAATTTAACACACTTTTATACAATCGTCAATTTAATTGACATCAGTGACCAACAAATAAATGAATTGAGAACACGGAATTTAATGGTTTATAACGTCCATAGTGACGTCAATACTCAAATAAATAATATTAATTAAAACCGTGTTTGCTGACTACATACAGAATGCAATGCGTCGTCTCAAATTTACATTTTTATAGCAACCCTAATGGAGAAATACGTATCGGACTTCACGAGCCTAAAATGAAATATTATGGCTAATTGCTTTCGCGATACGTGAACGTGAATGAAAATTTTAATTTTCACAGAGTGATATAGCCTTTTATTTTGCATGTTTTCGTATGAAGCAAAAATGTTTTTATTTGCCCTACATTTACATGTACCCTCGTTTAGTTTATCATGATTTATTAATATAAATACATATTTTTTTATTGATAATATTCACACTCGTTGTTCTGTGGCCTGTATGTCACAAACATGAAATAATGCAAGTCTGTGGTTAAAGGATTAATATCGCGGTTATGAGATTTAATGAGAGAAATGGTTTCTGTCAAAAAAATTCATTAAAAATAATTATATCTGCGACTTCAAATAGATGAATAAATAGGAATAACTTAATTTTAGATCTGTCATCACTCTCTCCTTATGTATGTATTTTTATTTACGGTACACATATTTTTAAGTTAACCGCACCTTCACTATAATTACTCGACACCAGACTAGTCAATCGTATCTCTTCATAAATTTTCACATCTAGTATCTGTAAAAGTAAAAATATTAATCATCTTAGTGGAAAAATTGAAATGATCTTGGCTTCGTAATCACTGCCTTAAATAAGTTTAAAGAGATAAGAATTTTAATTGATTTCCTTTTAGACAATTGTCTTTTTTTGTGTGCAAACCGATCTCTTCATGCCAATCTCTGTGTCATCGCCTTGGTAGACTTTAAAGGTAGCTAAGTTAATTCAATCACTGAGCTTTAACCTTAAGTCCTTGTGGAAGGAAATCACTGGGGACTATGTATACCTTGAGCAGAAAACACACTTTTGCACCCTGAATTTGAATGATACTTCACCACCTAATTTATTTTCGATATTAAGTTCACCATTTGGTGGAAGATATACTTTAATTTTAAAATAAATTTTCTCAGGCGGAATTCTCACTCTTTAAAGCACTGGGTATGCAAAGGTTCAAATAATGCTTCGATCTAGTGGGGGTACCATTCGCCATTCCAGGCTTCCACGTATAATAGCTGTCATAATGTTGCCATAGGCTCTGCTCAGTATAAAATCACTCCTCATAACTTTACACACTTATATGTGCAACACATGCTTAGAAATAAATCCGCCCAACGTGGAATCGTCTTCAATGTCTACCTAAAGGTCTTAATGTTATTGCAACGTAACTTCAATATATTCAAGCTGGATTTATAAGTTGACTCGGTCCATGAATAATGCGAGTCGAATCATCTTCTAGTAAAATGATAAAAAGACATGATATTCGAACAAAATAGTTTGATTAATAAAAATCAATATGCTCTTTGAGTACAATTAAGTAGGACCAATCATAAAATCTATGATCTTAATTGTCTACGAGCTACAAACGTGAGGGTTGACACCGACACTACTATACTTTTACACACTCAATATACTTTTACACACTCACACTAAAAGAAGTTAGTGTTTAAGACTTGTTTCTTTGATATTTTGCCGACTCGAACTTATCTGACCTTTAAGTTACTTGAAATTTCCTTGTGTCAAATAAAATATTAAGAGGATAGTTTGAGCGTAATATCTAGTTGGTGTGTGAGTTTTGATTTCCTTATCGACCTATTGATGATAAAAAACAAATTCGCCCAAATAGTCATTTTCATTCCAATCCAAATTTCAAAGGTTTTTTATGGAACATGAAATTGTACGTTAAATCGCACTCACTTATTAATTACACGATGACTGACTAGTACCACTTCAAAAGCGTATCACCTCACAAATGTATCACTACACCCATTATTTCGACTCACCGTAAAAGCAGTGAGATATATAAAGCCTACTCGAACGCCGAACCAAGTGTACCAACCACAAACCATGTTTGCCATTTATAGCAAATGACGTCAAATGACGCCGGATGGCAAAGTATCGTTTACTATAAATCTGATATATATAATTATGTATAGTTTATATACGTACACATATATTAATGTACTTTACATTGTAAATGGATTCCTTTGTCATCCCTTCACGGCCTAATTACTTAATACGTAGCCAATAATTGGGAGGTTTATCCCATATTGTTGTTGACACAGATTACGACCATAACATTTTTGTTAATACAAGCACGTAAGCAGATTATAACTGCAATAATATAATGTTATATATACCTACGTATAAATATAAATATATATATAGAACACATAAACTGAGCAGCATTAATTTATAAGTAGATTTATTTCTGATGTATCTTCAAATATTTTCTTCAATTCAATCGCGGGAGTCTTTTGAAATGACAGTTCCGATCGTAAGACGCAGACAGTTCAAATCCGACGAAGGAAACAAGGTTCTTGCGTCGAATAAACGTCACTTGATCACAGCGAGGCAATGGTATGCTCCACTTGTAACTGACTAATTCTTTTATAATAGTACTAAACCGATTTATTGTATACTATAGTTTAAATTATAATTTAAAAAAAAATGCCTATAGGGGAATATATCTATCGACTTCAATTGTTTTTTTAGAACTTACTAAATGTTTACAAAAAAAAACTCAAATTTTGAGGTGTAATTCCTATAAATTACCTGTCCAACGTACATTGACAAGAAATTGTTACCAAAACTATGTTTTTAAATAAATAAAGCACAAGTATAATTCATAAGACACAAAAGGAACAAATCTTTCTATGAATCTTTTTCTTATTTCGCAACTCAAGAATGGTCTGTCGCCTTTCTAATGCCAGTTTTTTTCCGTACTTTTTTCTTACAGTCTTACGTGACAATTTATTATAAAAGTTCGAAACGTTAAGAGCAGCGTTTCGAAGACTAGAAACGATTGAAAGAATTTTCTTTTAAAGACTTTTAATTAGTTATTAGTGTACAGTTTTCGCTGTTCTTGTATATTTTCCATGGTTGTATGCAAATAAATACTTTTACTAAATGAAACGTATGAAGTACTACTAAACTAAATTACTTTCTTATGATATAAATACATTTTTTTTTCAGATTAATAACAAAGAATGGTGCAAGAAAGGTAGAAAAGGGGGCCATTGTAGCATGAAGTGCGAAGGTAAGTTAATATAATTAGCGATCTAAGTAAGCGGGAGACGCTCCTAAGACTCCTCTTACCTTCACTTAGTCTTAATATATCAGCTTATTAAATTAATAACTTAGCATTAAGTTACATAACTTTTTATGACATACTAATTCTAAGTAAAACGAAGACAGGCGGATTTTTATTTTCATACATTTACCCTAAGTAATTTCATTAAAATATAATATAAATTATAACATTACTTATACATTTTTTAGATCTTCTCAACGAGGATTTAGCGGACGACGTGCGTTGTGCAAAACGTATTTACGACAGAGTCGGTTTCAAGGCATGGCCGGCTTCATACGCTTATTGCAAGGAAAAAAGCCTACCAGATTTATCTAAATGTTGAAAAGGAAAGTAATTTCGTACCGATTTTAATTACCAGTAATAAGAACAATACATAATATGTTAATTATAAAAGTAGGTTTTAGTTTTGTAACGAAATTGTATATTTTGTCATCAAGGAAATTTTTCGTTGATAAAATGCTATTATTTTTTACTTTTCATATTGTAACATAATATTAGTGGAATGTTTGTTTTTGAAATACGTACACCTATAATTTGCTCAGATATGAAAATAAAAATGTTCTAAACGAATTTTATTTTGTCAGAAGATTATTCGTGTCATCTGTAGTTTATATCTAGAATTAATAATTCCAGTATTAACCTAGAATTAAGATTCTAGTATTAATTTTATAATTATTTATCCTTTATAGTATTTTTTTTCTATCGCGAATTCAGACAACTAAAAGAAGAATAATATTGGAAAAGAAATATATATATATAACTGGTAATCATAAATAATAAGTGAATATCATTTTGAAATATATAAAATGTTGGTTTCAGAATTCTTGAACCATTTATATAACCAAAGTTCTACTTTAATAAATATCTCCTAAGTATGTAAGGCCTAAATAAAACAAAGGTATGATCAAACATTTTCATCGTGAGTTTATTTCATGTGATCTCAATTTACATTACAGTTCAATCATTACCACGCGTGTTCTTTATATAAAACATCAAAGTTATATTATACGAAATAATTATAATTTGTTGATTGAATTGAATTTGTTGATTGCGTCACATATTACGATGTTGCAATTTTGATTAACAGTTATAGTTAGTAACATTACTAGTTTAAGAGTCGTAAGATAAATTTTACTTTTGATTTATAAATTTAATATTTTCTACATTTATATGTTATGTTTAATAAAGATATAAAATAAATGTTCTTTTTTCATGGTTAATAGAAATAAGTAATTTGGTATTACATAATTCTATAACAGTTCACCTAAACTTGTAATAAATGGGTTCTGGTAGAAATGTCTGTCGCGACATGTGTGCCTTAAATTTTTAAAAACATTTGTATGTGAAAAATAAAATTGCTCTTACAAAACATGCAGGCGCCCGAGTCAACTAAGATGTTTTCAAAGTCACTTTATTCGTGATATCGAAAACAATAACTCTTTTAAATTTATAAGAGAACTTCTGAAATGTATTGTAACATTTGTCTTATAGAAATTCCGAACATTTGTTACAGTTATTGAACCGTCTAATGTTACTAAAAATTTATGGTCTTTTGTGTAATGTTGAGATTAACAAAAAGATGTATATTTTTTGTATTATAAATTATGAGCACAGTTTATATATAAAACATATTATAAATTTTCATTTTTCATTGACACTGATCAAGTATCTATAATTATGAAAGCAGTGCATGTTATCGTTAGCAAGGGATATTAATTTTAAAATATATGCACAAAAATGACATCCACATTTTATAATTAGTTATCAAAAAGCCTATTTCCCGTTCATTATTATAAGCTTAATTAAGCCCAGTCATGTGTTACTTAATTTAACACCGGATTATGTTAAAAATTAAATAATTTTCATCTTTATAAATTAACGAAAAAATAATAACCGATTTATTCGATTAACCGATTTAACCGATTAAAGTATATGCAAAATATATTATTTAAAAAGACAAGAATAGGCTTAGCAAAAGTAACATATCTTTTAAACAATTTTATCTTAATTAGTAAAATTAAAAATGTATGCTTAGTTATCTATTAATTGTCAATTTGCAGAAATTTCACTGAGCTCACTCTTTGTATCTTTATTAATTGCCATCGTAAAATCAAGTACAAAATTTTACTTTATTATTCATTCCTGTTAACACCAACATTATTATATTGAGAATTATGAATGAAGCTGACAACTGTGTTACTGGTAGGTTAAGAGTTTTACTAACATGAACCACTGCATATGTACATATATCGCAGATATATGTATGAATGTTAAACGATGAAACTTTCAGTTTTAAGGTAAAGACGAAAACGTTTTAAGGATACGATCTGGCGGTAATAAAGAACCATTCTGTATCAATGTAGTAATTGAATAATTTTGACTGTCTGTATCGTTTTGATGACTGAAACTTTGAACAGATAAAATGGGATTATTTCTTAGTGCATTTTTTTATGGGAAAAGGGGGCAACCGAGCAGACGGCCTACTTGATGGTAGGTAGTTACCGTCGCTCATTGACATCTGCATCGTAGATATGCAGATGTGTTGTAACCCTTGTTGGGGGAAAATGGGGAGTAAAAAGTGGGAAAGGGAGGGAAAGGAAAGGACAGGAAAGGGTGGGAAAAGGGAAAGGGTAATCGGCTCTCTATGTCACCGGACGGAACGCAGCCATTAAAGACTATTTCACGCCGATTTTCTGTGAGAGGGTGGTACTTTCCCGGTCCTGCCAGCCCATAATCGAGGTGTAGTAACTTGACCACAGCTAGGCTCTACCACCTCTAACATGCAATAATCCTCAAATATTTGTCTATCGTTATTCAATTTTCTTATTTAATAAGTGCAGTAACAAAAACAATGAATAGTTATAACAAATTTAATAATTATTGTCCCCTTTACAATCATATTTCCATACATTAAATTGTCACAAACTTTTATAGTTTATTTTAAATTTAGAGGTTAAAATTTATTTTATGAAAATTAATAACTTAGGTAATGCTTGATATCCACAAAATTGAAAGGTAATTACTCTGTCTATTCATGTTATCTAAAGTTCTCAGGTTCGTTTCCTGGTTGTGTAAATATTATTAGAGAGATAATTCATTATTATATTAGACATTTATATCCGAAACCGTACCTAGTTTGGATCAATATAACCATGACAAATGATCAGTAATGGTACAATAATCTTTACTCTTTGAATCATCCGAGCAACATTCGTATGTAGACTTTTAATTTTTTCCGAAATCAGCAAACGAATCAGGGATTCGATTCTATTCACAATCTCGAATACTTGAACAGTCGATAAACAAACCATGTTTGCGTTCCCAATTTGAGCTTTTTCTTGATTCAAACGAAATTCTGATTGTAAGTGATTTATTCGAAGAATATGATTGAATTTTACTTCAGATACAAAAATATATATTATATTTGAATATCATTGTAATGTTTGAACATCGTATATTTTAATTAAAATATTATATTAATATAAGCAATATCATGTTAACTGCCATCAATGGACTAATTAATACTTAATTAAAATCATAAATGATAATTTGGCTATAGAAAACGCTTTATAAGCTGTAATCAAATGAATATTCCAATTTAGATACAGCAAATGATTCCCTTTGCTTCACGTTTTAATAACTAAAATCTCGTGAACTATTATAATTGTTGAATCAGAAGCCGGATATTTGGGAGTCGGTTGTTGTAGTTTTATTTCAAAATACAAGAGCTTCGTTTTTCTATAGATATAAAATGAAATAAATAACTTTTTCATATTTTATATATTTTTTCCAAGAAGTAAAGAAACTGTTTGGTCAGGAATACAATAAATATTTTACGCTTTTCTTTGAACCAACGTAAATCTCGATTGTTTATACATATATATTGAAAATCGTCATTTTTATTCTTTCAATCATTAATTATTCTATACGAGTATACAAAGTTTATAACATGTTTAGCTTTTATTGAGTATTGAAACAGGATTATTTTTAATTAAGAATAAAGACAGTCACTATCATTACAGATAAATGTATTAAGACATTCTAAAACGTTCAATTGAATTACATTACTTTTATTATATAGCGATTCCGTTTTATTTTGGAATAATTGCTGTTAATTATACCGTCATCCTGTTATTCAGAATCGATTAAACGGAATCGTCTTATATCGATACTTAATCGATGGATTTTAAGGAATAAAAACTTATTGCTTTGTAAATTTTCGTTACTAAGTGTGGGAACAAATATATAATAATAATTGGGAAACAAAGGTATAACAGTGTAAAAATTCTACAATTTGTAAAAGAATGGAAATTCAAAGCATTTTATCATTCACGTCACACTTCAGACGAAAACCTATACATTACCACACAGATAGATAGATTTCTGGGACGCTGATATTAAGTATATTATAAAAAACTTTTAATATTAGGAACATATCGAGTTCTTAGCTCAAACTAAATATTAATATTATCTTTATAATTTAAAACTGAAATGTAGTAAACAAAGAAGCAAAGAATTTTATCTCATATCTACGAAGAAATTCCTATTACATACATATTGAAGCTATTCAATTCGATAAATAAAAAACAATAGCTGATACTGTCATACATAATAAATAGACAATCTTGGAAACCTACGCAAATGGCCATAGATGCAATCGTTTAAATGATAATGACAACACTTTCCCATAGGAAACTATCGTTAAATTACGAAATCCACCTTCTAGAATACCGTTCGATGAAAAAGAATGTGTTTTTCACTATATTCGCTATAAAAACAATATAACTGAGATAGATTTTCATTTTTGAGTGTATCAAAGACCCAATAGCAACATTTTTTAAAAGTCTGTTGTATTAAATTTGTGTTTTTAAGTGTTATTTCAATTGATGATTGACAAATTTCTATAATATTGATTCACGAATCATAATCAGAATAATATAAAACTTCATGATACCTAAGATTTTGGCGAATATTAATTTAAATTAAACTAATTTTTTCTGACTATGAGCATTTTGTTATTTTTAGAAACTACATACTCCCGACGTTTCGGTTACTTTTGCAGCAATCGTGATTAGAGACTTATCAAACATATAAATTTCATTTTAATATAAAACTAATAATGTGTACAGTTTAGAGTAAAAATTGTACATCATAGGAAAATGAACCGTATATCTCAAGACTTAGTGATGCTAGAGACGAATTTTCTACCGACTTATCTCCAAGTAAAAGTTCAAGCATTCGGTAACACATTTCAAACTAATACATAAAACAAATACAGAAGAAAGTAATCACGTGTTACCAGTAGCGGAAGTTTATCTTTTT